AATATCGTATCGGTGAATCTCTATTAGGCCCGATGAAGTCGTTGCTAAACGACAGGGATGCAAAATACCACGGAGAATTAGTGTAAACTGACCTTGGTCGCAACCACAAGAATGCAATCATTAACCAGCTTACTTTTGTTGCCAACTCAAAACGGTGGCAACAATGACCAGTCACTGATAAAACAAACGGTACTCAACAAGCGACAAATCAGAACTTGGAAAAGATTATCTTTGTTGGACTGTTTGTTGTTCAGTTGAGCTGGAACAAGTCAAACAGTCAAAAGAACTAAACACCACTTAGACAATATCCGAATAGACTTAAATTGGTAATTTCGTTCAAACCAAATGTGGGTTGTCCGGCAAAATCCGAACTCAAGTCTTCCAAACTAGGCTTTCGGAGTTCAAATCCGACCGAGACGGCGGACATGAACTAGTGATGAGCTCTAACGTTTGTGAAACTTGAGTCTTATACTGTGCGTTTTGAATTGAGGATTGTGAATGATGATGAATTTTAAAGGATAATCATTTATATCAATCAGTTCTAGGACTTGGAAATGGTTTCTATACTTGGAAATAATCCTTGAAGCTAGATGTGCTCACAGTTTGTCACATTACTACAAATAGATTACAATTCAAATGATTGGGTGAAATAGAATTCACGAACCTTCTCAGCCATTTGATAAGGTATATCTTAAATGTTGACTCTAAACTGACTACACACTCAACAACAAATCATGGATGTAGTGCAGTCAACGAGAAAGCCCTATGTACTGCACCGACTGACCCAATTTCACCCAATAGAAGATGCTATCGTTACGTAGGAAAACAATGGTAGATCAATGAAATCAGGTGCCATGAGCACAACCGAAATCGGGTGTTGCAAACAGAAATCAAAACCAGAGAAACTGCCTATAAGTACACACGTATGGGACTGTACAGTCAGTAATAATGTGTTGATGAACACAAAGGGTTACAGGATAGATTAAACTGGAAACAGAACTAGCCATCTGAAAGTGTATTAAAACATATAATCGGAAGGGATTCTGTTGTTAGCAGAACACAATTGGGCGTTCGGAATTCTATTCTGATGACAAAAAAAGAGGAGCAACGGAAAAACAGAGAACATAATGCACCAAACACAAGCAGCAAGCACAAACGTCTCGAATTTTCCTGCACATGCGTGATGCACCGCACTTCAAGTTCGAAAATTGTGAATGCAATCGGTTTGTCTATTGCGGGTGCAAACAGTGAGCAAAAAGGATGCATGCACCCTCAATCGAACGATTGAGAGTATTCAGGAAATGGAAAAGAACTGCACCAAGAGGTCGACCGACAGAATTAATCATGGCGGGAAAAATACAGAGAGTAATGCATACAGAGTCAGCCATATAGACGACGAGCACTATAAATATAAACAAATCCACAGCCCAAAATTGAACCGACTAGCAAAGTAATTGCCATTCTGGTTGGCTAAGGTAGGCGAGATTCGGGATAAGACCGTCGATAGTCAGACTATGGCCTGTCATGCGCGTACCCTTTGATTGGCTGCGCTACACTCTCATGCTTGTTCGTTACGTTGGAATTTATCGTTTGCCTCGTCCATATATCGGTGCTAAACATGTCCAGGATCCATAAATATTCTCAGGACATGCTAAGACTAAAAACTGTGAATTTTGTGCTGCACGCTAATTTTTTGTTTGGTGAGTCATAAAAGTCCTTGGATCTAAAAACGCAGACGGGCCGGATGGCAGACTGCACTTACTTACACCTCTCCTGCCAAGATGACTGTGCCATCATTGGTCAGCAATAACGTTCGCTTGCTATTCTCGAAGATCTCGGACTTGACCTCCATTATGAACACACGCGTAAATTCCAACACATGCATTGCTTGTGTACAAGAAACCTGATTGAATCAAAACATTGAAGACGTTCTCGTGCGAATAGAAGGGTTTGATTGCTACCAGCAGGATAGACAGCGAAGTAGGAAAAAAACCGAAGACGGTGTGGCTACTTACATTAATGTTTCCTGGTTTGGAAAGTCAGAAGTTATATACAACTATTCTGAAAAATGCATTGACTGTTTATCTGTTCGTTGTCACCCTAAATTTTCTCGTCATCAAAGTACAATTATCACCAATGTGTATATATCTCCCTCGGACCGAAATTTCTCCTTTTTTCGATTCCTATATTCCGTTTCTGGTTTCATTATTAGATGAAAATCTTTACTTACTTGTTGGTGATTTCAATCATGCATGCATTTCTCCCCTGCCTACGCTTAGTCTGTCTGATCTTTCTCATTCTCCTACCAGAGGTAATTCTGTGCTGGACAGAGTGATCACAAACCATCCCAACTTGTTCTCTCTCAAACTAATGGCCTCGGTTTCAACCAGTGAACATAGTATTCTTCTTGTTAAACCAAAGGTACACTCTCGTATTACTTATCAAGCATTCATACGTTCTACTCAGATAAAATTTCATCTAAGGGACTTTTCTCTCAACCGTATCTCTCTTATCAAACGTTCTATTGTGTTGTTCAGTCTTGGTTTGGTTCTTGTCCTTCGCTTTTTAAATGTGATAATTTGTCCACTGAAACGATTAAATCGATCTTTGACTTGTGTGGTCCAATGAAAACAGTTTGTCTGTAACGGTAGAATTACCTCGCCCTTTTTAAAATCACTGAGAAGGTACAAAGAACTGGCCTACAAATTTCATCATGCATCAACTGTAAAGCACTATTCTAATTTAATCAGGTCCGAGATAACGTACCTAAATGCAATCTTCGCCGCCCAAATTCTGCGAACAAAGAACACCAGGCTTTTGTGGCAAGGTATTCGTGTTCTTTGTGGGCAGAACAGAAAACAGTCTGATACCTCTGTGGATGTAAACAGCCTTAAAGCCGCTTTCATCCACCCGTCAAATGAGAAACAGATTCCCTCATTCCTATGCAATGAATCCACTTCAATGCCTTTTTCCAATGATTTAACCTTTAGGCTTCTTCGATCCAACAAAACATCTTCAACTATGGCTGGTGGTCTTCCTCCCGCGCTTCTGAAATTTGGAGCAGATTCCCTAACCAATAAGACGATATCCGTCGTCAATCAGTCTCGGTTGATTCCTCATTCTTGGCGTCCAGTGACCATTATTTGGACCCCCAAATCCACGTTCTCAACTGTTCTTCGAAACGGTTTCGTCCTATCGCGCTGACTTCAGCGGATCTGTAGTTCACTGAAAAAGCTATCCTGAGTCGGTTGCAGTCAGATACCACAATTCCTCACGACCTCTTTCAGTTTGTATTTAAACCAAACAGAACTACATTGGATACCGTGTCCACCCTAATGCATTTTGTCAGCAAGTCATTCGGCCAAGTCTGTCCGTTGAGTTTTTCTGAACTATTGCTCTGCAGTTGATTCTGTTTCCCGATCATCCCTTATTTTCAAACTTGAATCTTTTGGCACTCCGAAACAACTGTCCTCATGGCTTGATGACTATTTCACAGAGAGGGTCCAGTGCACCAAATTAAAAAGGAGGACATCAAAACCACTTGCTAATAATTATGTTGTTCTTTAAGGTGTTGTTCTATCTCCATATCTTTTTTCTGCCTTTATTAGTGATCTTTCGGTCCCACCCTCTGCTGAAGACGTTGTTTTGTGTCAGAAACTTTAATCTCCTTCGGAATATCATTCTTTTACCGAAAACCTATCCCACATCCAACAGTTTTCTGACCAATCTAGTCTCAGTCTTAACATATCTAAGTGCGTAGAGTGCATTTTCAGTCTTTCCCTCTCCGCATCTCCAACGAACTCTGCTACCCTCAACGGTAAACCTGTATCCAGAATGACCTCAGTCAAGTATCTGAGTGTCACCAGTGACAGCAATCTTCATTAGTCTACACGTATTTACAACTGTATGGAAAACTGAGACGCCTGTCTTTTCAGTTACGCAAACTCAGGCAATTTCGAACCCCACAGTCAATCCTGTCATCTTTCGTTCATCAATGCGTTTTATCCATTCTACTCTGTTGTCTTTTAAAACAAGACTTCAAAACAATTCTCCGTGGTCTGGTGATCATCAGTCGTGCATCAATAATTCCGATCGATTCATTAATCACAGATGGTCACATCAACTCTTGTTTGAAATTTGCTCATAAGATTCTAGACAACCCTCTTCATCCACTACACCCTGGTCAATCATCTTGTCGTTCCCATCCGTCCATACGCTCCTCATTTCAACATCTACCCTCTCGCATTAACATTTATAAAAATTTCCCTGTACCCTGCCTGGCCGGACTATTTACCAAAAAAGAACAGGTCTCAAGTGAACTACGTCAAAAGTTTTGTACATTAAACAAATATCACCGACATTCTTTACCTTTCGTTATTATTATTATTATTATTTCATTCTGCGTGACGAACAGTGTACATTTTAACTGAAATGTAAGCATACATGCTTACACAAGTCATACAAATACAAATTTAATCAGACCCATGGATAGGAAAATTCTGGAGCAGCTGATCAAACGTTAACGGCAAAGGACGATTCAACTGATTGCGATACACAAGGACGCTCACATATATACTTTCTACCTCACCACAGATAGTCTACCGATATTGTGTTCTTAACTTGCTGGAGCTCTCAGTGGTGCAATCCCTGCCTTTGTGCATTCTCTACTGAGTTTTACGAAATCAATACGACTATTTTAACTTAGTGCTCACATGTGACTGGTATGTTAACCATGTTAACGATGAAACATTTGTTACGCATTCGGCGGTGTATTTATTACCAGTTTTTTGATAATCGCAACCAAGCTGTCTGGATTACCAGATAACTTGAACGTCCGTAGGCTAGTCAGTGCTGCATCCCAAACACTGGTTCCTCGTGGTAAAACTCACTCATAACGTCTAAACATTGGTAACTGCAGCACTACAGGCGCGATTGTCCGAAGCCGTCCACAAACACCCGCCGGGAACTAGATGAGCTCAACGACCAATAGGGTTTCCAGTCCACAGAGGCAACCGCAGTCTCACTAACATGTCCCCAACGTGTACTTGCAGTCACCAGCTAACCGTCGAGCAGTTACCTCCACATCTTGATTCTACAGATAATGTATCGGATTTCGCATTACTGAACTTCTTTCTTCTGTCCTTCTCGCACTTGTTCTTCCTCGTTGGTTCTGTGCACAAACAGCTAACCCCACCAATTTCAAGTGACTATCCATAGGTGTCACATTTCTTACTTTCAGTCATCTTTTTCCTAAGAACAGCACAACTTCGGAACACTTTCTCCCTTTTATTCTTCCCTCGAACCTACAAAATCCTTATCTTTAAACAGAATCAACGTGCTGGTTCTAGCCTGAATGTTCCTTTGACCATGCTATGTACAATAAATCTTTAGATTGTGGTGTCTATCTCTTTCACCGCATTCACTTCTGAATGATAAAAAAAAAACAACCTATCACGCTGGCTTTGTTTTCTTTTGGCCTCCATGGCGCAGGTACAACTGCTTGATTGTATCGCCGGAGGCCATAGCAAGATCAGACAGTCACATACTAAATAAAGGCACGGAACTATGTCAGTAGAGGTGTATCAGGATCGATATAAGAATTGCAAACTGCTACAGACGCACACACATCATCGGGTGAACAGGTCACAATACAAATATGTACATGGCATATTGCTTTTTTTACTTTTTCAGTCACTCTTCTTCATACACCCACAGATATATATATATATATATACGACAGTTGGTTTGAACAGACAGAGAAGTGTGGGCTTAAAATAACATACTCGCGGTTCTGATTTGACACAGACAGTTGGTGTTCATGGGCTCATAATGAGATGATGCGCACGGTTATGACAGCATTCACGAAGGAAACGAAAAACACTGCAAACGGCCTCAAGACAGAGCTTTGCCTAAGTCAGCAATGATTTAAAAGAATATATATATAGTAGCACAGAACTCCGGCATCAGGAACGAATGCATTTGTTCCATCAACTCCCCTCAAAAGGATACCCCAAAAGTATCGTGCAACCATGCCATAGGCGAAAACGAAACTCATACTAGCATACATACGTGGGTATCAGAAGCCTTCGCTCTCTGGGTGTTGCCACTGTCCCCAAACCTACAACAACGCTGCGGTCAATTTTGTTCAACGGCAAGGACTATGTAGAATCACATAACCAATCAGGGGTGGTGTAGGCAATTCCGTGCCTAGACTGTGACCAACGTTCAGTGGGAGAGACCGGCAAACAACGGTGTACTCATCTACACGAACACACTTGCATCACGACGCCCTGATCCGAAGTCACACCTCTGGAACCACTGAGCACGGACAGGTCACTAGGTCAGAATCAACGAAGCAAAAGTAGTGACAAGGGCAAAGAGGAAGGGTAACGTCTGATCTTTGAAGCGCTGCTTTCGATCAACTCATTTGTAGTAAAGACATGGAAGCAGCCATTTTGATTTGGCCGTGAGTCGTGGGCGTGTCTCACTAGATCTTTTGATTCATGATTGCTTTTGTATTTTCCCTGTCTTGCAGGTCGATTGAAAGCCCCCTCCACGGAGAACCTACTATGAGAAGTGTGTCCTACCTGTGTACTGAGAGTGTCAGTGAGTAGCCATGGATTGCGTGGCCTTTTGTGAAGACGCTAATTGTATAAGAACTCGGACTGCGTTGCCCGGAATCAATCTGCCAGTGACACGGGAAAATCGATAAAGATTACGCAACGATTGTACAACCGATGGGGAACGCGGGATTGATGGACGAACAAGCACGACGCAAACCACAAAGCGAGGCACAAATAAACCCAATTCATTCACACGTATTATCGTTTAGCAACGAGTCCTAGTCTGGATCGAAACGTCACAATAAATACTATCACTCAGTGCTCGCCTTCTCCTTCTCAATATATAAAATTAAAATCACGATCTGATGAAAAACTCAATCACTGTCGAAATGAGAATAAAACCGATAATTACAACCCATTGTCCACTTTGAACAACACTACGTTCACCTGGGGGTACGGCTAGTTGCATTCTAACCCAATCTTACCTTGTCTGAAATGTTACCTCATCTCGTTTGGCCCAGCCAGTCTGATTACAAAGAAAACTACCTGAGGATTCAGGCGGTGTAGATGTCACTTAGCTGCTTCGATAGACCAACATTGACTCGATGAAAAGGTAAGGTGTGTGCAGACAAAAAACTACTTACTGTCAGTAAACATTTACCTAGTAGGAAAAAAAATAAATGGCCACGGAAGGCTTCAAAAAGAGCTCTTGAAGCTACGTGGATTTTGGACCTCTCGGCTTACCAACCTCAAGACGACGTTTCAACTGGAGTTTACAACGTTCACGGAAATCACATTGTATTGACGCATAGTGTTTCATGACATTCGTGAACTTCAACGACGTGCTGACCCACTTGATTCGGGAGCGGGCATACCCATGTGAAGTTAGATTCGCGAGCATGCAACGAGAATATATATACAGGGGAATAAAGAGAAGGTCAGATGAACACGCATGAAATGGGACGAGAACTAAACAAAAAATCAAAAGTTCAGGTTATAAAATGGCAACGCGATGAGAGTTACTGTTAGCTTGTGTCTTTGTGTATGTGTGGTTATTCAAAATGAAAAGCGGAAGCCCAAATGCTTAGTTAGTGCTGTCCCTTTATAGTGAGAACTAAAACAAGCGGCGTACCAACTTCCAGCTTCATTTTCATTTGAGCTTTACAGGCGTCCCGATATTCGGTTTGTGTTTTGTTGTACTTGCTCATCACATCGAGAAAACGACGTGTGATCGTGGTGTGCTTTATGATAACACAAATAGAGATAAACAACGAGAGCGGACGTAATATTTTACGTACAAGGAAATAGTTCATGAAAGCAATGCATATTTAATTATGATACACATTTTGTACAATATCTCCGATCGCTTTTTGAAATAAACCAGGAGAAACTAGTAATATTTGTATCACTACAGTCGGGCAAACTGAAAGAAAACAAAACGTGCTGAATTTCCTCGCAGCATGAGTCTTTGATCATTGTGGTTTACGTAAATCCTCGCAAGTGGGAAGGACGGCGGGAAACCCGCCATCACAATGAACGGAAGAATAGACTTGGCTCATTAAGAGGTGTATCGCACATTCCTAGCAGTGACTAGATGCACTCCAGAATAGAGAAGAATACTTAAAGGTCAGTACACAATGCCGATACCAAGTTCTTGAATTGCACTAAAAAAAGTGTTACGGTAGGTGTCTCCCATCTTCTAGAATGCGGTGTGAAACACCGTATGACTGGCTGTTTGAAAGCACTCAGACAGATGACAGCAAACCGACAGCAGTGGTGTCTCTGTTACCATTTCTTATCGTATCTAAATGCCAGAAGGGATTCATGCACAGTCGGACTTTGTGACTGGTGGTCACGGCAATTAGCTTCATCTTTCTCTACTATAAAGCATGTATATTGTCTGGTCACTGTACGCATCCCCATACAGTTTAAGAGTAGGACGAGAGTCAGTAAAGTTGGCTTTATTGTTTCGTTGATGAGAATGACGACTTTTTTAGTAGCCTATTATTGTGTCCTATTTCTACTTCGGACGTTACATCAGTGATGGACGATCGAGAAAAATAAGCTTTTCATCTTAACCAATTTGTTTGCGAGTAAAACACGGATTCACCAGAACAAACAATCATCTAATCCGGATAGGTGTCACGTGATCTAACAACTGCCGGAGAAATTTGCATGACCTAAGAACTAAGCACTGAGTTGTGTGATCTGTTGCATTATACGCACACTTTGTCACGATCTTTTAGGAAGACCGATCTGAATCACACAAAGTATATGTAAATAAAAAGGGTATGGAATAAATCAAGCAAGCCACTTTGACCGGGTGGATCGATGAGGATCAACTAAGCTGTAGTGGTTGGCAACGAGGAACACTGTTCAACGTACCTGTGTCCGTCGCACTCGAGCAACCGCTGATCCGGGGTCAGCAGCTTCCTGCTCTGCAATCACACTCTCCAAATCTGTGAACGCGGAGTAAAAAAAAATGATGAGTTTAAACAA